CCACCGTCTGGCCGGAATGGCCCATTGCAGGCTTTTCTTTGATGCTGCGTAGATCTCTCTCGGCTTTTGACCTTACGCGCGGACCTGTGACTTGACGACAAGGGAAAAAAAGATTAATACATGTTAAGTTTCCCTCCTGGGCAGAGAGTGGCTACCAGAGGCCATTTCACGTCAGGAAAACACATGGGATGGGAGGAGGGCTGAAGCCATGCTATGGTCCCAGTCCACATTGGGTCCCTCATTGTCTTGGAATTAAGTTCCCAGCTCGGTAACTCCTAGAACATGGGTGTACAAAGTTCACAAGGGGGACACGTGGACTTTGTAATGTATGAATTGGTCCTTAGGTTAGTACTGGATCCTACAAATCCCCTCAGCAATGTGCTCTTTCACAATTACCATTTCAAGCACTGAAGGATTCAAACAACAGAAGGGACACTTAAATGTTGGATGTTTTCATTTGTTCTTAGAATTACTGAGTCTCTTCAGTGGTTCGAGAGACTATTTAAAGGGGCCTTCATGGACGCAGGACAATGAGGCGGAGTCATCTTCTGAGGAGCACAGCAGGCCTCCCTGCCACCAGAGGCCCTCTTCTGGGAGTCCACCGGGCCTTCGCTCAGGAAAACGGGACGGGAGCCTGAGCTCTCAGGATTCCAGGACAGAGAGCGCCACCCTGTCCCAAAGTCAGCCCAACAGTGTATTTGGCAACCACGTCAACGACAGGGTGCAGCAGGAACTGCAGCACTGCCACAACTCCCAGCTTGTCTTTTCCGGTTGCAACGAGAAGAACAGGACCTCCTCTGAGACGAACCAGGCAAAAACTAACCGGGCCGGAATTTCGGTGGAGAATGCGGAGTATTCTGACCGAGGGGATTCTGATATGGATGAAGCGACTTACTCCAGCAGCCAGGAGCAGATGCCGGCTAAAAAGGCACAGTCCATTTCTATCCCATATTTTTTTTGTCTGAAATATGCCCTTTATTCATTATAGTTTATTCAGAAGTTAAGACTGTGGAGGATAATGGATAGGCTGGGGGTCAGACCAACAGTGCTTCTGTTGCTGTAATTGCTTGTGCAATTTTGTACTAACATTTTGGGTACAGGTTTTTCCCAGGTGAAATTCTCTGCAAATGTCTCCATATGGGACCAAAAGAGGAACTGGTCAGGTGCCCAGGTTTTGCTTCTAAGAAGTCATGTAAGCTTGCTTTTTGTGACTAGTCAGTCTGAGATTTTCCCAACTGCCTGAAGAAGTCACTTCATGCCATGTTTTGTCTGCACGGATGTGAATTCTTCTAATAGGAGCCTGCCACAGCACACTAAACGTCTTAATGAGTCACCTTCCATTCTTGGAAGTAACCATGCTCTTGTGAGGAATTCGGCTCACAAGTGCTAGAATTGTGTACGCAATAATAATGTTACACTCTTTTCAGTGGCTTGAATTAGCCCTCTTTCAGTCCTCTCTGGGGCATTTTTTTTTGGGGTGGGGGGGAACCTGAATTCACAAAATGAGGGATTCTGCTTGTACCCATATAATTGAGGCGCCAGTTCACCACAGTTGAGGGGTGGACATTGACAAAAAAAGATTACGGGCAATCTAACCTAGCAGCCTTTGTGTGGGGGAATGTAAAGGAAGGTAAACAGTTCTCTCCATCTAATAAAAGCATGTAACAGAGAAACACAGGGCTGGAAGGGACTCCAAGAGTAATATAGTCTAAGGCAAAGTGCAGGAAATTCCCAGGTACCTCCCCCCCCCCCCCACCCGTCCCCCAGTGACCCCTGCTCTGTGCTGGAAGGAAGGCAAAAAACTTTCAGGATCCCTGGGCCAATCTGGCCTGGAGGAAAATAGTACCCCCCCTGAGGTCCCTGTCCACCCCCAAGTCTCCAGGAGTTTCCCAACCTGGAGCTGGCAGCCCTACCCCTCCTACACCCTGCCTGTGGCCAGTGGTGATCGGAATCGCCCAGGGCATATAACAAAGGGCCGCAAGAGCTGGAGCCCTGGCTCATCCCTTCCTGCCCTCCCTCCCACAATCTGCCTAGTACAGATGATTGGAAAGCTGAGGAATATGATTAGGGGTTGGACCCTGCCAAATGTTCTGCTGTTGAAAATAGGTGAAGGGGGTCTCCTTTCACCATCTGCAAAGGTTTTCCTGGTAATCGTGGGATTTGCATGGACAAAAGCTATACTGGGGACAGGGGCTGTAATAAAAGAAGAGAATTTGGGGAGACTGAGGGAAAAGTTGGCTGGATCCAGCCCACTGTGACTGTTTTGCATTTGAGTATCAGCCAGACTTAAAACACAGTTTAAATTCCGTTGTTCCCCCTGGTGTGAGAGATGCAAGCACACTCCAAGTGAAATCTTGTGGGATTTTAACAAGTTTAACACTGGGCGCATTGTGGCTTTAAAGGCAATTTAGCATGCTTTCCAGACAAGGGACTCCTCCAATTCATTCCTCTGGGTAGCTGACTTAAGTGGATGTGGCTGTTTGATTACTAACAGCAGCACTGAGTACAATACCTGCTCCCGAAATCTCCCCGCTTATTTCTCACCTCCCCCTAAGGCAGCTGCAGTGACCCTCAGAACTGAAAACCAGTTATGGTTGGCAGAGTGCGTTTTTGTACATAAAGAATTGAGCCAGGAGGCGTGGCCATTGAGCTACTCCAGCAAACATTCTGTCCCATGGAGTTATTAGCCTATCGATTCTTTCATTGGAGAAAGCAGTTGATGCATGTGCATTGACCCATGAGAGACCTGGGTTTATTTTAAAACACTGTACTAAATGCTAATTGCACTAGGATACATGTGCTTATGTTTTGATACAAGTTTCTGCCTTCCTCTTTTTAAAATGTATGTATGCAAAATCTCCTTTTTGAAACCTCTGGCTGTCCCTATAAATATACCACAATGTGATCCTAGTCACCAGTTACATCTCTAACAGGGTGTCATTCTTTTTTTCCCTTCCTTCCTTCCTTCCTTCCTTTTTTATTTTTTGTCTCGTTTTTTGCATAAAGGAGCCTTATTCCATGAATTCGGCCAGTTCAGTGAATTCTAAAAAACTTCCTGCACCGCTGCTTAAACCAGGAGATGTCTTTGAGGTTGAACTAGTCAAAAACGAGAACGGCTTGGGAATAAGTGTCACGGTACTGTTTGACAAGGTTTTTAGCTATTTTCTCTTCTTCTCCACTCCAGATAACCTGTTGACATTTCTGGTTTACAGGAAAGCAGTGGACCTTAAAGAGGCGTTGTCAAGTAGCTTTTTGCAGTTGATCTCTCAGCCCTTTGATAAGCAGCCCTCCACAGATCTGTGTGTAACTTTGGGGCAGTTCTCACACTACGATTACTGTGAGAAAATGCCTGCCTATTGGGCACTTTGTGCTGCCATTGCTGATCATACTACATGCATGCTTTTGTGGCTTTAAATACCTGGACTCATGCATCTGCTAAAATTAATTGGGTTCCCAAACATCAGTTTGGTGTCTGTACTTCCAAACATTTGCTGGAGGAAGCACCTGTATTTTTCTTTACAACCTGAATGAGAGCCACCCTGATTCACACATAAATTAGCATTGGATCACAGCCCACAAAGATTACTGCATAAAAAATGTTAGAACATGCTTTTTCCCTGCTGGACAGCTTGCCTGTGCCGCAAGGCCTCTAAAATCGGTGTATGGTGGTCAACACTGTCTTGATTCAGACCTAACACGAAATTTTGGTTTATCTTAATGTTGATTCGTTTGTGAAAGCAAGATTCAGTTTGCAGATAATCCTTTAACATCCTCTTTGGCCTCAACTAATGCTGGTTTCATCACCTTCACTGTGTCCAGGCACGTCTGTAGCTGGGGAACACACAAGGAGAGTACCAGGGAATAAGCCAAGGAGTCCATCAGTCATGGTTAAGACTGGGGTTGATCAGCCAGCTTTAGATCCTGGTTTGCTGGATGCTAACTAGACATAATTAGTGGAGCAGCTCCCATTCAGACTCATAAAATATAAGTTTAATTAAACTGTGTTTTCACATTGGCTGTTTTTGCGAGGATTATTTGCCCCAAGTTCAACGCTCCTGGGAACTGGGCAGGGGAAAATCTGCCTTCCCCACAGCATCGCTGCACATTAAGGCATCTCTCGGGAGTTCTCTGGCTCTTCTCCAGTCCTCCTCAAACCTGCTTTGCTCAGAGTTCTGAGAAAGATCGCAGCAAAGCCTGGGTGGCTGCCATGTGGGTGGGAAAGTGTGGGTTTTCCCAGTCCCATTCACGTAGCATTTCCTCTCCCAACTGCATAGGGTTTTCCTTTTTTTTAAAGAATTTAATAGTATTATTATACTATTATTTCTTGCAGAGATACATGAGGTAAAAAACCTATCTCAGCAACCAGATGGGCTAGAGCAGGTGCTCATGGGTTCCGTAGTGCCTGTTAGCCCCTTTCCTGGTGCCCGCCAAGTGTTTTTAGAAAGTGGGTGGGGCCAGTAGGGCAAGGCTCCTCCTCATTGGCCATTGGAGATGTGATTGGCTGTGCAGATTTAAATAATGTTTCAGCGGAAGCAGTCACGATAGTGTTGCTTTTATCCAGGGCTTTTTTTGTAGAAAAAGCCCAGCAGGAACTCATTAGCATAACAGGCCACACCCAACAGCATATTAGGCCACACCCCCATACCTTCCCTTGGCTTGCCCGGGCGCCCCACGGGTGCGGGGAGCCCAGGCAAGCCAGCCCTTGGACAGGCTGAGGAAGGCACTCCCCAATCCTTCCAGGGGCTTCTGGGGGGGTCGCTCTCCAGGCCTTCCCTCTGTAGCCACGCACGCAGAGGTTTTGGCCGTAGTGGGCGTGGCCAACTCTGAAGCCAGCCGGAACTCCATTCTTTTGCGTTCCTGCCCCAAAATAGCCCTACTTTTATCCTCTCACTCTCTCCTCTTTCCCAGTGTATTTGTTTCCGTTACCTCCGCCCCGCATGCTTGGGCTTCCTCTGTGTGTGCGTGTGTGTGCGAGCATGTGTGTCTGTGGCTCAACTTCCTGTGGCAGCCATTTTGTGGCTGTGGCCACCACCCTCTCTCAGGATTCCAAAAGTGCCCAAAAGCTCAAAAGGGTTGACGACTGCTGAGCTAGAGACTTACTTAAAAAGAAAGAAAGCTAGGAACTCAGAGAACCGGATGCTGGTTTTAGTATAGGTATATTAATATGACAGTATTAAATCACCAATTTTTTTAAAAAATCACCAATTAAAAAAAAAATGCTAACCAGGAAAACCTGTTGTGTGAATGCCGTGTCACCAAGGTGCTGTTTTCACAAACGTAGCAGCAACAGGAAAACGACACAAGCCTGTCCTTGTGTGGAAAAACACGCTTGTTGCTGAAGTGAGACTGTGGCTTTGCTGCCACTACCTTTCCGCTTTTGCCAAGAATACTTCAGCCCTTAAAATGAGGGTGCGTGGGAAGACTGCCCCATCCTTATAACACCGAGAACAGAAATTCATAGCGAGTGCACAGATTTTCCATTCTCCTGTTGTTACGGATTGGGCAATCTGGGATAGATAATTCATGTCTTTAGAAAGAATGGCTAGAAGAGGCGCAAGTATCACTGAAGGGGTTTTGGTCTCTAATCTTGTGTGCTCCCTCTGCTGGCTGTAAAGCAGAATGTCACCAAATATTTATTTGTACTTTTTTTGCTGTCTGCTCAGCTACCCCCCCCCCCCCCGGGTTTTCAAGGCAAGAGACATTCACTGGTGGCTTGCTGTTGCCTGCCTTTGTGTAGTGACTTCCCTGTGGTCTCCCAAGTATGAAACAGGTCCAACCTTGCTTAACTACTGATAAAATTGGGCTAGCCTGGGCTATCCAGGTCAGGGTGTTTGTGTATACTCCGATTTAACTTTATTTATTTATTAATGTAAAACATTTGTGCCATTCCGTGCCCCCCCCCCCCAAATAGGGTCCCTATGGTGGCAAACATCAAACATTTCAGATTGCCAGACTTCAATTCAGAGGTGATTTACATATTTAGAGTACCACAGAGATAGCAGAGAGACAGCCATACCTCTGTGGTGTAGGGGTTAGGAGCGCGGACTCTACTCTGGGAGAACTGCATTTGGTTCCCC